TGCAGTTGTGATTCACTTGAAGTACATTCACGATTTGTGCATGAGGCGGCATCTAAGTCATGCCGGAAACTGGCACAAGTCATCGTGCAGCGGCCAATACCTTCAATGTTTCGCAGTCTGCGATGGGTTCCGAGTCAATTTTCACTTCTTTGACTGACCTGAAATGGAAATCAAACGACTGTCAACCACAGACTTCAAGACAAAATTTATTGGGTGGCTGGGTAACGGTTTGGGCTGGTTTCACTCTGATTGAGCAAATCTCACTTATTATTGTGCAGTGAAGGTTCCCTCTACAACACCTTTCCTTTTCCCGTTTGCAAGGCTTGTAGGTCGACGATGTGTCCTTGAGGATGACAACGTAAGTGCTCCCCATGGATCGCCAACACTCACCTCCAGCAGCATAACATTTACATAATGGTAACTGCAACATAAGTTACATTGTAGGAAATCCAAGTTCTATGGATAGTCAACTTTTTTTATTGCAAGAAGTGCAATAAAGAAGTTGACTATCCATAGCACTTAGTTTCTCTTCATCACAACTTCTATAATGCCTCTCAAGGAAAATAATTTACTCTGATGAAACAAAGAAAACTGAAATTGAGATTTGTGGTCATCCACAGGGTCTGGGACAGTAAAGAGATATGTGTGCGGAAACGTCATAGGCCGCCATAAGTAGGTGCTGAAACCTTATCAGGACAGACTCGGTCAAATCGCCATTGAGAGACTTATACGGGGTATACTATCAGCTGTGATGTCTCACTTCCGGTTTCAGTTCCTTCAGTCTTGCCCCACAGCTAAGCAGCTGTCATACATGTGGTCTAATCTCAGGCAAGTGAGCTTGTTCAAAATATTTTCTGTTCACCCAGCAGAAATGGGTACCCGGAGGGATAAGTCATGTGACTATTAAGCTTCTAGCGCTTCACTGGCAGTTTGGGTTACCCGGGGTAATAATAATCACATTCTGATTGTGCGCTTTAAGCAATCATAGGCATGGATATATGCGCGGTACACATATGCTCTTATTATACCATCCTTCATTGAGGCTACACACATGAGCATTAATCAAGCACCGATCATCTTTTACAATAAACGCACGAAAACAGTTCATATTCTTACTCATATCAGAATGGTAACTGTAACATAATTTACCCAGAGTAAACAAAGGAAACTGAAATTGAAATTTGGTTACAATTTACATCCTTTCTGAGTGGAATATACAGAAACATCATCAATGCTAGGAAGTATGGTCACCATGACAACTAAGCCATCTATCTGGCTGACACACAGCTCTGAAATAATGATTGTTGATATTAGTATTATTACTGACTGACTGAGTTTGGTTTTACGCCGCTTTTAGCAATATTCCAGCAACATCACGGCGGGGGACACCAGAAATGGGCTTCACATATTGTGCCCATGTGGGGATTCGAACTCGGGTCTTCGGCGTGACGAGCCAACGCTTTAACCATTAGGCTACCCCACCGCCCCATTAGTATTATTAGCATATACTTATTAGTATGTGGTCTGGACTACCAGACTCTGACGGGGTACACAATCCCAGCTACCAATTTCACGTTGTCACAGCGTTATTCTGTGGACTCCCATTTACGTTGTCACAACGTTATTCTGTGGACTCCCATTTACGTTGTCACACCGTTATTCTGTGGACTGCCATTTACGTTGTCACAACGTTATTCTGTGGACTGCCATTTACGTTGTCAGAACGTTATTCTGTGGACTCCCATTTACGTTGTCACAACGTTGTGACGTTGCACACTGACAGGATATTAATGTTGTCAGTAAGGATGGAAATTACGTTACTGTGACTTCAGTATGTTTCTGGGATGAAAATCGTGTAATAAAATAGGTTAATAATACACTACTGTTTTGTGATAGTCGGTACACAACGATTTGACAGCGTATATATGTATATGCTGTAACGTTGTGAAATAACGCAATAAAATGACGTAATATTAACGTTCTGACAACGTTGTGTAACGACGTTGTCAATCTACACCCTTCCAAGAACGTTGTGAAAACGTTGTGTGTTAGCTGTACGTGGTCCAGATTACCAGCGTGAGTGAGTGAGTGAGTGAGTGAGTTTGGTTTTACGCCGCTTTCAGCAATATTCCAGCAATATCACGGCGGGGGACACCAGAAATGGGCTTCACACATTGTACCCATGTGGAGAATCGAACCCGGGTCTTCGGCGTGACGAGCGAACGTTTTAACCACTAGGCTACCCCACCGCCCCTAGATTACCAGCTGTTAGACTTCTATTTTTAGTCGGAGCCCCGATGTCTGATAGGATTAGATGGCTAACATAACGAATATATGACTGATATTTGAGTGGGCATTCGAATCCCAGATGAGATTCAATCCCCCAAATGCACTAGAATCTGTACTTTATTGAAAAAGTGTTATCACAAATTTAACATATGTTACATGTGGTCGCTTCTAAATGAGACTATATATACCAATTATTTCCGTGTACCCCATACCTCTTTGATGCGTTACCCGCGGAGATCCGCGTTGGAATATAGCATGATACTTGATAGTATTTGGTGACAGGACATGAAAGGTGTTCGGCTGACCTGTGAAGATCCGGGTTAGAATTGATCTTCAGCAACACATGCTTGTCGTAAGAGGCGACACACGGGATCGGGTGGTCAGACTCACTGATTTGGTTGACACGCGTCATCGTATCCCAATTGCGTAGATAGATGCTCATGCTTTTGATCACTGGATTGTTTGTTCCAGACTCAATTATTTACAGACCGCCGCCATATAGCTGTAATATTGCGGCGTAAAACTAAACTCACTCACTCACATGTATGCACCACGACCTAGTTTGGAATCAACACGATATGCTGTAAACACAATACATATCCACGTTGACATGGACATTGTCGTTCCTAGTCCTGTTTATGAAGATGATGTCTCAATCTGTATTCCGAACTGTCGAAAAATATGAAAATACAGAAGCAATCCTGCCGCGAGGCAATAGTTAAAATGTTTTGATGTGTTGCAAATATTTTTCCACAGAATTTGAATTTTTATTTTAAAATAGAAAAACACAGGATTATGCTCAATCACCATTAATATCATCGAACGTGCATTTGTAAACGTTTTTCGAACCTTTTTTTTCACACTTATGTGCTTTTTAAATATCCAATACATCATTACAAAATTACATTCTATTTTTTTTATCAGGCCTCACTTGCGAATGACTATATGCTTTTAAGCTGTGTAAAAACAGAATGTTAATAATCCATGTTTTTAAGAAATCAGAGATATCTTGATCTATAAAAGGAAAGTAGTGTTTGCAAGTCTCCATAACATAGTCTTGGCCCGAAACTTGTAAGTAACTTTTCATGTTCTTTCATGTAAATGTATTTATCGACTTTCAAAAAATTCCACTTGCATGTTGGTGAAGGTTACAGTATCATGCAACAGCTAATGAACTACATACATTTGTAGTATTTTGTTATGACATCTGTCACATTTAAATTAGGGCATCGTGCCTAAGAGCGAAAGGTCGAAGGTGTGAGCTCACCAAGCAACGGTGTTAGAACCTCCACAGAAAGGCCGATCCTACTGCATTAAAGAAATTTGTTCTTTCATACATCGTTACCTTCCTTAGTATTCCAGGAGTGAGTGAGTGAGTTTAGTTTTACGCCGCTTTTAGCAATATTCCAGCAATATCACGGCGGGGGACACCAGAAATGAGCTTAACACATTGTACCCATCTGGGGAATCGAACCCTGGTCTTCGGCGTGACGAGCCAACGCTTTAACCACTAGGTTACCCCGTCGCCATTAGTATTCTAGGACGTCATCTAGCCAATTATTATCTGAAAGTTAAAACCTAATATGAGCATCCATTCTTTTGAGGCATTCCTGTGCTGGGAATATGTAATGTGCACGTGTATTGAACACGAATGTGTGACGAACATGGGTCGTTTTCTCGGTACCCACTCTCAACAGCCTGCCAACAACATTCTTGTTTACTGGATACAAGGTTTGATCCAGAAAGGTTTGCATATGTCACCAGAAAAGTGTGCTTGGTTTCTGAACCGAAAGGGCGGAGGGGTAGCCTAGTGTTTAAAGCGTTTGCTTGTCCCGCTGGGTACGATTACCCACATGGGTGCAATGTGTTAAGTCCACGTCTGGTGTCCCCTGCCTTGACATGCTGGAATATTGCTAAAAGCGGCGTAAAAGAAAACGCACTCACTCTGACCCTAGAAGGAGGTGATCTCTCTCTCACGTGGACACACAAACGTACGCTCACACGCACACACACACACACACACACACACACACACACACTTTCGTGTAGAACGAATCTGCTTTACTCTGCAAAAGCTATTGGAGGGTTCACGACAATTGTGATGTAAGTAACTTTCAACCTCAAACGAAATGAAACAATAATGACGAGTGCATTAAGTCAAATCGGTTTTGTTGTCATTGTTAGAGTTTGTGTTAGTTAGCAATTCATCGGTCTCAAATGAAATCAAACGGACTGTAAGTAACTTTTAACATCAAACGAAATGAAACAGTAATGGCGGGTGCATTAAGTTAAATATGCCAATGACAATTCAGAAGAATCTGTAAAATCTGCTGACATGTTTTGTGTTCATCACAGGACATTTATTTACGGAACAGTTGCTAGGAAACACAGATTTCGTTGAAACCTTTTCCCAGATAAACTGAAAATCAAGTATTTGAACATTATCTAGTGCTGATTAAGAAATAATTATCTGACATCAAAATTGTTTTAATTTGTTGCACAGTTACAAAAGATCAAAGACATAGAGATAAAGAGATTGGCGAGTTGGAAAATGATCGTCACTGCCTAATCCGGCACCCTGTCTAAACCCGCATTTTATCTCGGTCCCATGGGGTGCCGTTTTAGACAGGTTTCACTGTATGTCACTGTGCTTAAAATACAATTTACCAGTTTGGTAATGATAACGAGTAACGCCTTTCATACAGACTGGTCTTCGATAGTCTCCGAGCACCAGCATGAGGAACCTATCGGCTGTTGTGATGATAGTACTGATGCTGGCTGTTGCCCAAGCGATGTACCCCATGTATCAACAGGACCAATCCTACGGTGACGGATACAGTGAAGACGATGAGCATCGATATGGGTATGACTACCCTATCCCGAGAAGGCAGTACCGACCCCGCCCACGCAATCCTTACTGGCAGCGTTACTTCCGTTACTAGGTATGTATTCCGTATTACTTCACTGAAGAAAGCTCGATATTGTCGAGTGACTGGGATACAACATTGTGTCTGTCCAAATGTACGTTAACCTGATCTCAAATGACAAATGTAATTTGCATCCAATGTAAATATTCTGTTGCAGTTCTGTTGGTACTGAAGCGGTGGGGTAGCCTAATGGTTAAAGCGTCGATGTGCGCTGATGACCCGGGTTCGATTCCCCACATGGGTACAATGTGTGAAGCCCATTTCTGGTGTCCCGCGCCGTAATACTGCTGGAATATTGCTAAAAGCGTGTAAAATCATATTCACTCAGTCTCCTTTGGTGGAGCGATGGGGTAGTCTAGTGGTTAAAGCGTTCGCTGGTCACGCTGGAGAGCCAGGTTCGATTCCCCAATGGTAAAATCCATTGTTTGACATTTTGTTACACTGACTGATAAACCTTTTTTTCATAGTATCACTTTTATACAAAATTGGAAGATTTGCTTTTATAATGGGCATAATTGTACAGTTATTAGGATTGTAGGTACAAACAAATGGAAGAATGTCCATCTCTGTATTTGTTTCTTTTGTTTTCATAAGTGTCTCTCTTGGGACTTTTACTGCTTTATGAACAGCATTTTCAACTACCTAAGAAGATGTATCTATTACATATTACCTATTGTCACTAACTGTAACGTCATATGCATGATGACGACATAGCTACTACCGTTATGCGTCGCCTATGACGACACTTTTCATTGTACACATGAAGAACCGTTGACTGGCGAGAGATCTTGTGCAGATGGAGTCTGGAGTTTTATATATAGATGTATAGATAGTTCATATATAGATAGGCTTATACTAGTATATGTTACAGTAAATGTGTCAAATCAGGAAATGTGTAAATTTCCTGGAATATTCAGGAAATGTGTACATTTCCTGATTCACCCAGTAAATGTACACATTTCCTAAATATTCCAGGCAATTTACACATTTCCTGATTTGAGGGCCTGATTTTTTTACACATTTCCTGATATGATTTTTTTGCTGTCTCAAATAATACAGCTTCGATTTAAAGGACAAACAAAATCATCAATTTACACGAACTCTGAACAAGGCTCTGAAGGGTGGCTGCTTGGTTCCAGAGTGATGGCTGCTGTTTTTCTGGAACTGCACAAATCATAGTCTACTCGGCCAGTCAGTTGTGTCATTGTCCGCTAACCAAGCAACTAACATATCCTTGATGTCACAGTTAAGACGTTCTACAGAACGCAAAATCTTTATATCAGGAAATGTGTAAATAAATCAGGCCCTCAAATCAGGAAATGTGTACGTTTCCTGGAATATTTAAGAAATGTGTACATTACTGAGTGAAACAGGAAATGTACACATTTCCTAAATATTCCAGGAAATTTACACATTTCCTGATTTGACACATTTACTGTAACATATATTAAGTGTGATAATTTAGTGTCACTTTCATCCTCAGTGTTCAATCTGATCCATGCAGAACTAGTTTAGACCAGCTTCAATATACTAAGCTTGGCTTGTTTTTGTTCTTCTATCATATGAATACAAGAACATTCACTAACTACAACATACCCTGCTCTCTTGTCCTTTACTTGCTGGTTATTAGATTACCTTTACAACAACATAATTACTGGTCAATAGGATTTTAAGCATGTAGTTCTTCTGGGAGAGCTGATGGGCTGTGCTCATTACATGCCATGGGGGTGCCTCTACTCAGATAATTAAATTTCTGATTAATCCCTGTTGTTATTTTGGGATGTAGTTCAAATGGGATGTAGTTCTTATGGGAGTAAACCCTTAAAGGTCACATAAACCCTAGGGGGTAAAAATACATAAATCACTAACTGGCATCGTTATAAATGAAACCCCGTCATTAAAACTACTCATTTCGACCTTTAATTGACTTAAATCGACCTTTTTGACAACAGTGCACAATTCTCACCCGCGAACGAAATTTCAACCAATCAGAGCGGCGCGACTCTGTGACGTCATATGAGGAATAACTTTGAGGGCCGATGCAGAATTCATCTACATTTTAGGGGGTAAATTATCTTGTTTACAGGCTTGTATAAACCTGAAATCGTGACAATTGTTGTGGAAAATGAAAGCTATATGTTCTCACAATCTACTGGAATTTAATTTTGTCTCCTGCTTTGCCTAGTTTCGGAGTTACAACTTGTTTTCATAGACGCTTCTGTCACAATTGATTGGTGTCGTTAGACCCTATTTGTATAATGACTGATCCAAATTGATCCCATTTCTGTGTTTTTTTACCTCGATATTTAATCATGTCATGTAAAAATCTGTTTGTATTCTCAAAACAGTGTCGGCCCATAAGTTTTCACATGCAATACAGCAATTAATACTCCCTTTTTGTAACCTCGTGTTAGGTGGTATAAACCTACACATGTTATTTGTCATCATTCACTTGATGGTCAGTTAATGAATTTATAACAGGTATAATTAGTGGTAACACACTTAGATTACCCGACAAAGGTTCCCATTTGGCATTTCTTGTGTCTGGAGTAAATATTCAACATTATAAACATCGATCAAAGGATTAACCGATAACACGCTGATTGATTAATTACTTTTATCTTACACAGCGGAATTGTCAAAAGGTAGTGTTTATGTATGTAGATTTACTAATCTATATATACTGAATACACTCTGCCGTGTCGGTGTCTGCGTAAAAACAACGTCCTTCTTTCAAAGGATTAACCGGCAATACATTGATTGATTAGTTGCCAGGTGTGCTATCTTGGGTGACCAATGAGACTATACACCAATACCTGAAAAGATTTATCACTTTTTCGTATATTAAACTGTTAAAAGACACATCATTTGGAACAGTTTTGTGGATATTGATGGATACATACCTCCAACAAGGTAATGGCCTGATATTGTTCCTATAACTTTAATCTGTTTTAATTTTAATATTTGCATTTTGTTTTTTATTCATTTGTCGTAGCATTCAACAGAATCATTGTTTTCGCCGTGAAGTGTAATGAGACAGACAACGTACACTAGGGTGTGTGTGCGAATTATGATTCACATTGGCAAACTATAAAATGTCTAGATATTACAGTTCTGTTATAAATTCACTATAAGTATCAGCAGATCGTCAGCTTTTTATTTAGTTTCAAAATGCATAAAAGTATGATTATAAACTAATTAGGATTATAAGACCAAATATAAAGACGCACATTGACTAGTATCTACATACTGGTGAGTGGACATTAACCATGTGAATGTAGCAAGAAATTTATCGCGCAGTATTGTGACTTCGACCCCCCACCTCGCTTCCGTGGAAGAAATCGTTATGTTATAAATTGTGTCATCCAAAATCCTTTTGGTTATGATTCCAATACATATTTAACTACGAGTAGAAAGTAGTTTTGATTTTCTAACTTGATGAAAACAAACTATAATCTCATTAATTCTAACCGACTTTACGATTTTCAAAAAATGGCGGCGCCCTGTCGGGAACATCCGCCAGTCTGTGGATAAATGCTATTTAGGTTTGTTTTCACCGAGTTACAAAATCAAAACTACTTTCTACTGGTAGTAAAATATGTATTTTATTGATGGCCAATAGGATTTTGCATGACATAGCGTATAACATAACAATTTCTCTCCTGGCAGCGAGGTGGGTGTCAATATAATACTACTTACAATATTATTGTTACTTCGACCACAACCTCACTTCCGAGGAAGAAATCGTTATGTTACAAGTTGTGTTATGGAAAATCTTTATGGTCATCAATCATATTTATATTTTACTATAACTAGTAAGTAGTTTTGATTCTTTAACTTCCGTGAAGCGATCTGAACACAAGTAAGATATCATTTCAGGCTTCCACAACGCTCGCTTCGCACTCACAAACATAACCCATTTAGCACGAACTGCGGGGTCCTGTGGAAATCTGTGCATGGTGACACCATCACCCGACCCCTAGGAGCAATTGACGACAAAGCAACGATTCGGCATGTCGTCGTTGATGTCGAGAAATCATCAAAATGATGAGCGTGCTACACACTTTCTATACAACTAACTGAAAATCGTTCCTCATATGACGTCACTGCAGTGCTCTGGCGACAGAGTTACGTAACCTGTCTGTGGTTTCGTTGGCGGGCGAGAGGGAAGCAGGCGACTTTTTGGCCACTTTTAATCGCTCGGTATTAATTAACCACAAGTTTTTAAAGAATAAATTTGGTGTTCCGCATAAGACTAACCACAAATCTTTCATATGTAATGGTTAAAAGAGTAACAAAAAACAAAGTTTAGTGGTTCTTTAAGACACATGACAACATCAGGACTTCCACAAAGGGATCATCCTAATCCGGTGGTTGTACCATCCACTTACATATCTTTCAGATTCCATTGGGTATACACATTGTTGGTGGAAATCATATGAATAGGCCTGTGAAAAATCAGTGTTGACGTCAAACACTCTCGTGAAACGAGTAAGCATGCCATGTTGTCCTGGTATGAAATGTAACTTTTTTTGTTGCGAAACGAAGCACTTAGGCACACCTCCGACATTGGCCTAATTATCATTATAGAAGAAAAACAACTGTTGCTTTTCTTTAGACTGACTGACTGAGTTTGGTTTTACGCCGCTTTTAGCAATATTCCAGCAACATCACGGCGGGGGGGACACCAGAAATGGGCCTCACACATTGTACCCATGTGGGGATTCGAACCCGGGTCTTCGGCGTGACAAGCCAACGCTTTAATTATTAGGCTACCCCACCGCCCCCTTTTCTTTAGAAGACATCATTACAACATATATGATATTAAAGCACTAATAGTAAGTAATATACTTGTGAGTAAGCTGCGGAATTCATGAAGTGGTTAAAATGTAACATGTTATATTTAGGATTACACTTCCACAGTAAAGTCTAGATTCTTGTACTTCTTGTGGGAAGGCTTGGTGGCTGAGTGGGTTAGACGGCTGACTTTGTGTCCTGGCATTCGGTGCCGGATTCAGCCCAACAAAGGTAAATAATTTGTACTCTACTGAAAAAGTGTGATCCCAAATATAGCATATGTTACTTAGAAATTTAGCCCGGCAGGAAACTATCGATCAAAGCAATAAACGTCACTTGAACATCGTACAGGCGAAGACCTGTTTAAATGTGATGTAAAAACACAAATCAGGTAGACTAGATACGAATTAGTCATGAAAGACTGATCTGAAGCTGCGGGATGAAAATGTGGTATCCAAGTGAATGGTAGCGAAAGGTGTAGCATTATCTCATCAAAAATGAAATTGCGTTGTTTACGCCATGTTATTTTATGAGACGAGCCGTGATTTCTTCTCCTCTTTAAATACGTTCGGACCCATATTTGGAGTTGCAGACAGATATATCTGTGGAAGTCTCTCAAACAGGACCAACTCTAAGCAGGTTTTGACCATGGTCTCACGAATTGCGATTTACCTTCAGTTATTGACAAGCTATGGCCAGTTTTTATAATGTGTCGCATACACTTACTTGCTATTGTTAACTGTACTTCTATGATATTCTAGTTATTGTACTGTCTTTTGTTGACAGGTTTTTATGTCATTTAAGATTGTTTCTATAAATATTTAACATCGATAGTCATGACATGGCTTAAATACTGCCGACTTGCCTTCTAATTTACTCATTGTCTTTAATCAGCTTTGGGGCGGTGGGGTAGCCTAATGGTTAAAGCGTTGGCTCGTCACGCCGAAGACCCGGGTTCGATTTCCCACATGGGCACAATGTGTGAAGCCCTTTTCTGGTGTCCCCCGTCGTGATGTTGCTGGAATATTGCTAAAAGCGACGTAAAACCAAACTCACTCACTCACTCACTCTAATCAACTTTGCAAGATTCGTTTGTTTGTGTAGTGTTAAACGTCACACTCAACAATAGTCAAACCATATGTCGACAGTCTTTAGATAATCGCGCGTGGACCATACAATTCAGTGACATGTGTCAACCAAGTCACCGAGTCTGGCCACCCGATCCCGTTAGTCAATTCACGACAAGCATGGGTTGCTGAGGACAGGTTTGCAAGGATAATGTCTTTGGTCCTAGTCCCCCGCAGTGATATTGCTGGACTATTGCTAAACGCGGCGAAAACTAAACTCACTTTGATCCTAGTGAAGCCTGACCATTAAGAACAAAGCCGTTAACGCTCACTATATAATTGTATCTGAACTGGTTAGTTATAAGCATCTGTTAATTTCCAAATCAGGTTTTCATTAGAAAAAGCGTTTGTGTCTTAACAAATTTAACTAAGTCCCTCAGTAGAATAATTAGTTTTCCTTTACCAAATCATAATATCAATATTCATATGATTTGAGTTACTTGGTATTTGAGCAAATAAATTTATTCCGTAGGGATTGAATTTGAAGGTATCTGTTTTCATTTTCAGGGCAGGTCCTGAATCAGATCCTGGAGACGAAATCGTTGGGAGATAATGTACTCGGAAGGTTATCTGTGAAGCAATAAAGGCCGGAGCAATAATAAGCAGAACATTAGCTGTGTTTTAATCTCAGACATGTGAAGTAGAGCAGTCAGTTTTACAATGAACACTCAGTCATCGTGTACAAGACGTTTGAAAATTAACTTCATGAATTCACGTGAACCTCATGTACAACTGAAACTTAAACTATCGCCACCATATTTAATGTAATTTAACGAAGAAGCAAGCTCCTCTACTATTTGTGTTCACTTTGTTCTATATATTACTTAAATTTTGATCACTCACTCACTCACTCACTCACTCGAACACATCTTCTTGCCATAATGTAGGTGTCTGGAATGGAAAGGTCGGACTTTCACAGGGTCTCCTATATTGAACTGTGACATACAACGTGAGTCAGTTGGGTTTTACGCCGCTTTCAGCAATATTCCAGCAACATCACGGCGGGGACACCAGAAATGAACTTGACACATTGTGCCCATATGGGGATCAAACCCGGGTTTTCGGCGTGACGAGCGGACGCTTTAACCACTAGGCGACCCTACCGCCCCGACATATGACATGAGAGTTGATAGTATTTGGCAAAAAGTCAACATGGTATGTTGATCAACTGCTTCATTGTATGTCCATGAAAAACGACCCGTGAATATCCGGGTTTGAATTGTTCTTCAGCAACCCAAGCTTGTCGTAAGAGGCGACTAACGGGATCGGGTGGTCAAGCTCTCTGACTTGGTTGACACACGTCATAGTATCCCAATTGAATAAGTCGATGCTTATGCTGTCGATCACTGGATTGTTTGGTCCAGACTCGATTATTTACAGACTGTCGCCATATAGATGGACCATTGCAAACCAACCAATCAACCATGAAAGGAAGTGATGATACTGGCCCACGCGTCTATCGTATTGTCAAGAAAGCATAAGCTATTGGCAGTGTGTGATGCAGTTTTACGTAGAGGAATCATTCAAATATTTTATTGCCTTTGTTCAATGATATGATTACACACACAACACACACACACACACACACACACACACACACACACACACACACACACACACACACACACACACACACACACACACGCACACACACGCACGCAACACAACACAACACACGCGCGCACGCACACCTACACGCGTTTTCCGTGTAGAAGGAAGCTGCTTTATTCGGCCATAGCTATAGAAAGTCGAGTTATCGCTGAGAAGGGTCACATTAAACATTATAACATATACCATGAAACGAAATGACACAATAATGATAATAATAATTCATATAAAGCTCAAAAAGGAATCCCTTGATGTTCGCCTCGAAGAGTATATTTCCGATACAGACCTGTCTTCTGGCATTAACCATTGTTTTGTTCAAGTTATGTTATCATACCCGTGATTTCCAGATTGAGAAAACGTTGCCCACCCATTAAAAGTGAGATAGGATCAAAAACATAGTTAAATGGCATCACTGCCGCAACTCCTACAGCGGACTGTTCTTTGCATGGCATTAACCGTTGTGTCTATACTGATGTTATATATGCAGTTTCCATAAAAAAGAAAATATTTCAAATAAATCCAAACTAAATTAACTATAAACAAACATATCTTGAGTAGAACATCACTTAAAATTACGTAAGAAAACCACATCAGAAAACAATGTGGTAAACACCAAAAGGCAAATACACCACCGCGAAAAAAACAACCCAACAAATTCTTCATCGGATTCTCGATTCCTTGAAACCAAAGTTAAAGATCTGGGCAGACGGGAAATGAAAGCAGAACAAGAAAAATATTTCCATAAAACAAAATGAAACTGATGAAAAACAATTTTACAGCCCACTAAATTCAACCAATTGCATCGAAAGTCTTTCCATGGATTCTTGTGAAAGGTGATGGAAACGGTTGTGGTCTGTAACTGGCAGCTGCTGCAACTTCGAGGAACCATGGATTGTGAGAACAATACAGTTTAAAAGAAATAATTATGTTGCAATTTGTGTGTTGGTCTACCCGTGATTGCCTGAAATAAGGTACTTGAAAAATAATACAATGCAACACCAGGGTCTGGTGGCATTCGAAACCGGTATTGGGAGCATATTGCATCCAAACACACTTACTTCACTGTTTCAATTCTCTCGTGGATACAGGGGATGTTTTGCGTTTGGTCTGCAAAGGGGAATTTTTCAGGGCGATTCCTTCAGTCCTTTGCTTTTAAGGTTTTTGCTTAACAAATGGGAACACTATCATCCGGGACACCCTTAACACAGATCAAAGGGACATTCGGGTAGCGTAGTGACAAACCCGGGTTTGAATCATCGTATGGGAAATGGAGTCAAGGCCACACATATTTATGCTGTGCCCGTACTTTTGTATTCGTTTGGTGCTCTTGATTGGACGAAACATGAACTTTAAGAGAATTGACACGCTCACCATAAGACTCATGTTAGACAACCAGAGCCCACAACCCTCGCTCTTCCTCCAACTGTTTATATTCAACAGTTATAATTGAAAGGAGTGTTTTTATTTCTGAATGCTCAAAAAAGACAAAATTGTAATGTGCAGTATTGCACCTATGTATTTGTCCGATGTTCCTCTTGGGAAACATTTCAAAGTTATTGATGAAAACATGGCATTTCACAGTTATCTGGAAAATCAAAATATCAATTATCACAATGAGTGTTGTTTTCGTTGGTGGTTCTGTACTGTAAAGAACAGAAGAGCCAAGTTATCTATAAAGAAGACACGGGCAATGAATGAATCAATCAATAAATAAATGAATGAATGCTGCTTTATGGCTGCATCAGCACCTTCCCAGCTATTGGCGGCGAGATCCTACTATGAAATCCAACAAGTGCACATAAAGGACAATACAGAAAAGGATGCTGTCAAGGAAAAATTTGAAATATCAGTCATAAATAAAAGACAAAGCCAAAACAAAACCTGACAAGTTTGTTTGCTTTTTACGGCTATGAACCTTTGTAAAGAGATGTTTTGAAGTAGAATCTTTCAAATGCTTGGTCTTTTTTATCAGGATTTCAAAGAGCGTCAAACCATTCATGATCAGAAGTTGCTTGATCAAGGTAACAATATTCAAGGCCTAAGTAAAGCTTCTAAGAAGTTTAAGTGTAGACTCAATGATGTCTGATGCAATGTGGATGTGGAAAGGGTATTGTCGCTTCTGTTAAGTATATGTAGCAAGCCATTGCACATTTGTTTTTTCTTTAAAAAAGTTAAAATGACACGTGAAAGCAACAATGGATTTTGGTGTGTATGTTAGATCGTCTGCGTATGTATGATCCGAAGCAACAATCAGTCAGTTGATTACTGAATTCATCTACGCTATGTAATATAAAAAATCTGGAGTACAGCTAGCAGCTTGTCTCTTTGTATTATTTTTGTTATTTTTTATATTTTTCCTTCAGACACAGTCTCGGCCTAAGTATAAGATTGAGTGAGTGGGTTTACAAATCGATATTCCAGCTATATGGCAACGGTCTGTAAACAATTGAGTCTGGACCAGACAATCCAGTGATCAACAGCATGAGCACCAATCTATGCAATTGGAATACGGTGACAAGTCAGCGAGTCTGACCACCCGATCCCGTAAGTCACCTCTTACGACAAGCATGAGTTGCTTAAGACCAGTTCTAACCCGGGTCTTCACGGGTATGATGATGAGGGACTGCCTGTATTTTAATGCTTATGTATAGAAGAGTATACTTTTACAATTCCTTGGTGTTTTCTGTTAGGCGGTAACTAAATAACTCTTTGGGTAATCTATTTTATGTGAAACGTCATCTTATAGTTCAAACGCTGCACCAGGATGTCCTCAATAATAATGGTATCTAAATTGCCGTTCAGTGATATTGGATTTACGTTTGTTAAAAGATAGAAGCGACAAAGCCCTTTCCACATTCATAAGAAATCTCTGCCAAAAAAAGAGTCGATTGTACAATTCAGACCATATCACGAGCAGATATTTGTTTCAGCAGTATTACAGCTGTATGATGTTGTTTGTAAACAAATCGAGTCTGAACCAGACGATCCAGTGATTGTCACCATGAGATACGATGACAGAGCATGTTTTTATGAATCACTGAATATCAATATTCTAACCCGGATCTTCACGGGTAGCTTCTCGGTGGAGGGTTTGGCGGTTACCGGAGAGGGAGAGGGAGTGTTGATTCTATTCACAGAGTAAAATTAAATTATATATACCAGTGCTTTGTTGCTTTACAAAACAAGACTGCATGAAATGTCATGGAAAAGAAGGTAAAAGCAGAATGTACATGTAGTCAACTAGAACATACGACACTGACTTTGGCACATCTGATCGGGAGGATCGGGTAGGATTGCCAAAGGACAGAATTCGTTGTTCACAGCATACAGTGGTCACCTGTACTGACAGAATCACCACCCCACTCCCCTCCTTGGATGGAGGTACGTATCTTGTGACAGGACAATCTGTATTGCCATTATATCTAAACGTGTTCCTACTACCATGGAAAGTTTAATCCCTGCATCAATCAAATTCATAAAAAAATATAGACATTTAATTGATGAAAGTTCAATTAAACAAAGTTAAATCGTTCAAAGTTCGCCCATGCATTTCTGTTTTTAAAGTGTCTTTCATTGTGTTATGCGAAGAACTTAGTTAAGCACGATTGAATGAGCCCCGATCTTAACCCTTTGGAGCATATCTGGGACATGACTAAAGGTCTTGTTTTTAGGAGAGGTGGGACATTAGTGGTTAAGGGAAAATGGCTTTATAATGGAAAAACATTGAAACGGTAAACAGCTACAAATATCTAGGTTTTGTGTTCACGTGTAATTGTAGTCTCAGGCAAGCTGTCTCAGAACTTGCAGCTCGTAGTAAGAAAGCTTTAATGGAATTAACTATAAATTTAAGGAAATTCGGACCAATACCAGTTTCCAGTTTATATTAATTCCTACGTTCGAACGATGAAATATTGGCTTAAGTTAATGACAATGCATGATGGACGAATTCCGAAAAGGCATATAATATGTTATACTACCTAGATACTGCTGGTAGCACACATGGCGTCTGAGATCCGCCATATACTTTGCTCACACGGCTTTGGATTTGTCTGGTTTTCACAAGCTGTCGGTGATCCGTGCGCCTTTATTTACATTTTTAAAGAACGCTTGATCAATATGTTTTAAATTGGACATCTACTTTTGCAAACAGTTCACGTTATACGTTATATGCAAAATATAAGAGTCTTCTT